CGCCGACGCAAGGGCTGTCGCCGAAAGTGTAAGACCAACCATCTGCTCCGATTGTAATTGTACCGCGTCTCGTATCGTCGTGTCTCGTCCGCGGAGTGGTCGCGCGGATAAAGAGGGCTCGCCCGAGGAGAGTGTCCTCGGGCTTATTGTACCGTTTCGCGTAAAGTATCGTCTCGCGAACTATATTCTCTCGCGTGTATTAACGATCGGGACGAAAGAGAGTCCCCGAATAAACTTCTTCTTGTTACCGATACCGAGTTTAGTGATTTCGCCTCCTAACCCATCCCGTCTCCGACTTAAAATGAAACGAGCTACCGGTCCCGACGGTTCCGGGACGCGCATCTTTTGTGATTCTCAGTTATTATCGCGTTTATCGAGGTGGTGCGGCCTTTCCGTACCTGGCGCCCAACTCTCGCGAGAATCTTTGTGGCGTGTTCGGGAGCCGACGGTAATTTGACGACGAGGCGAACAGGCGACTGTTTGCCGTCGCTCGCGATAAGTTCCGCTCGCGAGTACCGTCGCAATAAATAGCATAAATATTATAAAAATATAAACATTTTTCTCTTTTCCTGAATTTTTCTTAAATTTTCCACTTTATTGTTTCACACGCTATTTAATTTAATTTAAATTGTACTTCGAAAAATTTGCTTACTACGCTGGGATTCAAACCTGAGACCTCTGCTTCTTACCTACTGCGCCACTCTCACTTTGCCTGAGAAACGCTTTATATTGTTTACATAAGTTATATCCATGTACAAAAATAAATTATTTAAAAGAAGAGAATAGATCCTTGTAACGATGCATATCGTTACGTCACGAAACAAGGAAACGCAGAATACCGCGAACCGAAAGCGCAAGAGGACAGCGCGTCCTCCAAAACGGTAAACAGCGCGACCGCCGAACAACAGCGGTAGATAGCGAATCAACCGAGATTCGAGGTATATAAACCGCCGCGTAATTGTAATCGAGAGATTCGATGATCCGCTCTCGAAAGAGAATCGGAACCGATCCACCGCTCTCGAAGGAGAATCCGATTCCGATTATCCGCTCTAAGAGAGACCGACTCCGCTCCTGGCAGATTACTGTTCGTCGATTGGCGACTGTAGTCACTCCGCCGTCGTTACACGGATACGTG